AAATATTATTTAAGAACGGACTAAAACGAAGATCATTTACAAATCATCACTCATAGAAAACTTGCCAGGAGGCAAAGTCACTCAAACCTATCAGTATGGTATTAAGCTACAGCTTTGCTTTGTTAAATTATCAATATTAAAAAAAAAAAGGAGAAAAATGTACAATTATTCGCGTAGTTAATCGAAATAAATAAATCTTGCACAAATCTATTATAAACGTTTGTTCATCTAGCGTCGAGTACCGGTGTCCGTCAAACAATCGGACACGTTACTGACCACTGATGTATCAGATGCGCTACCGTCTACGTAGAAGGTCACTGTTTCCTGCTATTAGCCGGCAAACTCGATCAGAAAGTCAAGCGATGATGTACGTCGTTCATATAATAAGCCGATACCAAGAACGACTACTAACGAGCCCATCGTAGACGTGAATCGCAATGGAGCGGAGCCAGTTGCCAAGAGAATTACATTTGCATGCTCTGTGCAACGTAGCTGCAGTAGAAAGTCAAATGGTAATCGCCTTTGATTATTCTCAATAGATGCGAGTCGAAAGCGCAAAACGCTGAAAGATCAAAAACCGAGACCGGTGTGTCAGTCATTGGAAAGTACACATTCTGCCGCTTATTAACAATGATAGGTCGGAATTGAATTTACGTAATGAATTCTGTCCAGTTGTTAGAGGAATCGCGATAACCGTGGACTTTTAAAACAATGCTGAAGATAAGATAAAAGTTTATGCGATAAAAGTCGCGACTTTATAAAGTCTTTCCAAGAAAGAGTAAGAAGCAGCGATTTTAAAGAAAAGTAATTTCTAAAAATACGTACAGAAACGAACAAGGGCCGTCGTTTTGTTACAAAGACGCTCGTTACATTCAAACAATTAATGCTCTGTTGCTTATACATGAGTTAAGTTTTTCTAAATTAGACTTTGCAAGTTCTCTCGATGAATAAATTCTGAGATATCAAATAATTGTGTCGTCAGTTCAATAGATTCGCAGGAAATGTTCGACATTGTGATTAAAAAATAAATTGATTTGACGTTCCTTCACGGCTAATAACGAACAGTTAACATATGCAGTCACTTACCAAAAATTTACCATCATTTAGAGCAATTGTTAACCAATTGAAAAGATCTTCCTGTTTTAAATATAACTGAATGACTGCAGGGGGAGATCTCCCCTTTTTGCGTGCTGCATTGTACCATTAATACACGTGCACATTTACACAAAGCTTAAATTTATAATTAAAAATAACATTGTCGAGTACGAAATTTTATCTAAGCTTGCCGTAATTATTCAAAGATCATCCGATTAAAAGATCTGATTAAATTTATTTATACTCTGATGAAATTCTAAATTTAACTATTGCAATCTAACTGAATACAATTTCATTTCTAAATCATATTATTAATTATATACTAACGATCTTTAACGATAATTCTGACCATTAGTAGACTAAGAATTATTCTTCAATTTGCATTCAACTAATCTTCAATTATTTGACTACTTGACTATTTCATCGTTTTATCACGTAGTGTTGATTATACAAAGCGAATAAAGATTACGACTAAAAACGATAGTATTAAATGGAAATTCTTATACTCATGAATATTCAGAATCTAAAAAATAATTTTAATACTTTATTAAAAAAACTTTGTTTATTTAGAATCGTCTAGCCATAACAGTTAACGGTCATGGCTAACGGCTAAACTATCGTTCATAATGTACACATTTGTAGAACTTATTTTTAACTGCTAATTTGTACACGATTTAAATACTTAAAATTCCACTTTCTTTTAGTTCTCCTTCTTTTGGCTAGAAGCTTTGTCTTTCGACTTCGATGGATATATTACAAACAAGGACAATTGTAACACGGACAAGATAAAACCAACGAAATTCTGGAACTTTAAAAATACATAATGCATTAGTGAGTAATGCCAGTCTATAAACATTTTTAAATTTTTCTTATCTATGTATACTCACGATAATAAAAGCGTTGTTAATTATAAGGCCGTACAATAGCCACAAGAATGAAACAATAGTGCCCATAAATATGAGTGGAAACGGTAGAATATCCGTATTTTTCGTCTTTATAATCTCTCCCTGAAAAAAAGAATAAACAATGAGTGATGTACGTAGTCACATTGTATTTAGTAAATATAGTTAATTTTAAACAATGATTGATCATTTAATATCAAGTCATGTATGTTTAGTCGATCCCTTATGTATCATAAATAGATAGTAGATATGTATTATAAAGTATTCTAAAGTCACATGGCAATTCAATCCTGGTGTAAAAAGATAAAGAAATCAAGAAGTATAGATTACTAATGTCTTATTGCTGGCATGACTAATAAATGATCAAGCATCAGTCACATTATTGCTAAATAATAGCAATATACTGATTCATAAATAAATATACTGATCCATCGTTACAAAAAATACGAATAAAATAGATGATACAACATATAATGTTCTACAAAAGTAACTCTACGTTCGAAATTGAACATCATTGATAAAACACGGTTACGCTTGATGACGTACAAAGAACATCTCGGTCAACGAGAAATTGAGGCAGTACGTAACAAAGTACTTACGATAATTCAAACGTTAAATATACTAATACTTCGGTGAGGAAATTTAAAGAATTCATGCGCCATCTTAAATCCTTTGAGGTTAAACACTCGAGGAATTTCATTGCTGAAGACAATAAAATTCTTACGATAGTATCTTAAAATTTCCATTCTAGTTGCGCCATTTCTATTTGAATAATTCTCATAATTTGTCACGGCTCGCAGCTTTTTAGAACTTATCTCGACGTAGAATTGTTACGTAACCATTGAAAAGTTTCTTCAGCGATTAATCATACAAGAAGAAACTGATCGATTGAACAAAAAGAAAAAAACTATGTGTCCTTTAACATTTCAGATATCAATAATTTAACATTTGAAACATTTAAACTGTTAGATGAGTATGAATATTTATACTATTCGTTTCAATGAAAAAAAACGTGCAAAGAATTTGTGGAATTATACTTACAATATGTACGAGAGGAGATGCTATTAAGAATAACAATAATATTGTCACAATCAAACCAAATCTAAATTCGATCTCCTCGGGATTTTCCATTTGTGCATACGTAAGGAATATCGTTACAAAAGCTGTTGCCTTGCCTATTAAAGCAAGTGTATCCTTCTAAAAATGCGGAAAACTTGATGTAAAATACTTATTCAGGCGCTGATGCGGTTAGAAATATTTGTCTAAAATTTCTTCGCACAGCAGGAACTTCGCTTCTTCGTTAAGGCATAATTTTGCCGCGACTATCGATATATTTTTATTTTATTACAATTATTCGAAATTCAATTAAAAAATCGTGTAACTCATTGTATATCTATCGGTTGTGCAAACAGATTTGCAAACAGCATATTTGCTTGCAAGATCCACATACAGGCGTATATTGGCATCATTTTGCACCACTGATGGATATACGATTTTGCTAGATGTAGCCACATGTACGTTACACAAAAACATTAAAAAATATAATAAACAGGGAATATTAAATTTTTATAAGTGCATGATATACATAATAGAAAATATACATAATAGAAAAAATTGAAATATGTACAAATATGAACAAGTAAAATTAATTATGATTTCTGACAGTCTTTTAATCTCTGATTGAAATTTGGTATTTTTGTTCAAAATTTAAATACGCAGCTTCATCTATATATATTGTAACAGAATGTCAACTGAAAAATTTAAACATGAAAAATATCAAGGAAAACAAGTTACAGATAAGAAAAGTAATTAAAAGAGCAACACCATGCATTTTAATTTAGAGATATGAACTCCTACCGTGTGTGGTGAGTAATGATAATATACTGCCATGTATGCTGTATTTGTGAGTAATCCAAAAGCATTAACATTAATCATCACAGGATCCCTCACAATCCATGCATATTGAAGCATTAAAATGCACCTACAAAAGATCCTTCATTCACTATACATTTATTTGAATAATCCATATATTTGCTTTTTATATTACAATTTTTCTATAATTTCTTACTATAATTATGAACAGAAATTAACATTTCTATTACAAACAAAACTAATAATACTGTGTTTTCTATAATAAGTAATAAAATAGAGCACTCACATTCCTATACCACCCACAAAAGGCATGGCATCAAATCCTTTAGACGACCCTTTTCGATAAATATTCTTACATACCAATCTGTAATTAAATGATAATCATATATTATTTTTTATCATTTAATCCACTTAAAATTAACATGTAATGCACGTAATGTTTATGTATAAAATTACAAGTATAAATTTTGATTTATATATTTACAAAATATATGATTTATATATTACAAAATATATAATTATTTAATTATAAAATAAAAAGTTTAGTTTTAAATTACTTATAAATTTATATCATGTCTGTAATTATAATTTGTTTACTTAGACAGGCATTAGATTTCTACTATATTACACATGAGATGGTATTAGATAACTGCATTAATGTATGAATCATGTTACCTCAGCACTTTACTTTAAAATTATATATATTTGCAAACCATAAGAATATAATTGTAAAATTCATGTATAAATAAAAACTAATTATCATTCGTTTTAATTACTAATCAATTGCGTAATTTCACGCATATTTTGTATATTATAAAATTGAATACATAAAAAATATTAAATAGGTGTTTTCATTACAAAATAATGATAAATCGAATGTACATTTTTATCATACATTACCATTCTCATTGCTTTAATTTACGGATATGAAAAATAATTACTTGTAGGAAAATAATTACTTGTACAAAAATATTTATATATAATATATATATCTAATGATCAATTAATTATTTAAAAAAACGCGTGACACATGCGCATATTTGTTCAAATATTTAAATGACACAATAGCGAAAGAAGGTTGCGACGCTTTCGAAAGAAATTTAAATTAAGACCACACCTAAGAATTCATTGTATATATTTATTTAATATTTATTTGATATTTTTTAAATTGCTTGCGACTTAAAATTAGCAGAAGTAACACGATTTCTCACAATTTTGCCGCGATACGTGAGAAAAATAAGAATATCGATTATATTCGACATAACACGTGGAAGAAAAGTCAAAAGAGCAGTGCCAATGTAAATGTCAATGCCAATGTTAAGAAACAGTTTCAAGGCTATATAAGTCTGTCGAACTTACTCTTATGTGAAAAACATTTCCTAACAGAAATCAAGCGTAAAGAAGAAAAAAAAGATGTATATGAAGTGAAGATCTTTGATTTTTCTCAACTCACGTTCCGGCTAACATTTGACCTATTGTGCAAATCGAGGCACATGATGCCACGAGTTCTTTGTAATCCTCCAAGCCCATTGTACCTAAGAAGTTGTCTTCATCGACGCTCAATAACTACTACGCTGCGAATCACTTCATCGCTACGGAATTGAACAGAACGTCCCCAGTCTTCAGCGGCGAGATTAGAAAAAAAGATAATAATTGGTAATTTTATTTCCATCTGCGGCGCTAGTGTATCGCCTCACTGCGACAATGTGTACCACAGATAGTGTGCGACAAAGATAGTAATAGTAATCAGTTCCAGTGTTTTACCACTACGTGACGCTAGCATTTCAGTGTTCATAAATCAATCAAATTTTGTGCAAAAAAAGATAAATTCTGGAAAATTCAAGTTATTAGGGATTCTCTTCATGTGTGATATTACATATATTTACGTTGTTATAATTGAATCTCACAATGACAGAAAATAAAAACGATAAAGCAAAAATTGATTTGGGTTTATTAGAGGAGGATGATGAATTTGAAGAGTTCCCTGCTGAAGGTATGACAACATTTATTACAATTTAATAAAAATGGTTCGCAAAGTTCTCTAACCTCAAATTGATTGAATGACTTGATAGATTGGGCAGCTACTGAAGAAGACAATGAAGATATCAGTGTTTGGGAAGATAATTGGGATGATGACGATGTAGAAGATGACTTCAATCAACAATTAAGGTGATTTTTGTTATAACATTATTTTGGAAGGTATATAGCTTTCAAGTTTGTAACTCATTAACTTTAGTCGAATCATATAATTCTCGTTACAATATTTACCACAATATTATCACAGTATATTAATCACATGTATAAAAAATGTAACAATGTATTTAATTCATATTTAAAAACAATATGATAAGATTTTAAATAAAATTAATTATTCGTTTCAGAGCACAATTAGAAAAACAAAAAGGTTCAAGCAAAGGGAAGGAATCTTAATTAAGTTATAAATTAAACATGTTATTATGCATAAGAATAAATATGTATTAGATTACTAAGATTTTGTATACATTTAAATTTCATTTGATATATATTGATAGACTTTTATTGTGAAATATAATTTTTCATAAATATTTGTACAAAACTTAAACATTAAATATAAATGTAGAATTTAAATGCATGTAGTACCTAATATACATAAAGTACACCATACAACTTATAAAGAGTCTTGTATTAATGAAAAAGATACTTGGCATTCTTAGTGTAAATGTGTAATCAGGTACATAGTCCATTTTTGAAAATTTTATGTAATTCTACATTATTAAGTCAACAAATTTAGTACATATGGCACATCAATTCCTTTTGACTAAAATACATTTCAATAACTAGCAACTTTTGGTGGCTCAATAAAATCCAAAAAAGGAATTGAATTTATCTTTTTTGCTTAATGATGAACAAATGAAACCATTAAACAGTTGTAGTATGATTTGACCTACATGAATTTAATAACTGCGATGCTAGAACATCTAGTATTTGTAGGTTTAAATCTATATTAACTTTTTTTATTTCATAAGAATCAAGTAAATACTTTAAAATATTCAATGTATCATCTTCGCCAAATATTAATTTTATATCATTTGGAATTTTAGCTAATAATTCTTGCAACAGTCTTTCTTTTAATAATATCAATGATTCCTCAGAAAGTTTATTTTGTACGGTATGAAGTGGTATATTACCCACTCGATCAAAAATTCGAAAAGTAGCAGTCTGTAAATTGTACAAAATTCATATTTGAATATAGAAATAACAATAATTCTCGTATTAATAAAAAGAAAATAAAGGAAATTATTACTTGTAATATGGGTTCAGTAACATTTCCAATAAGTAACTTTGCCCATCTAACAACTGCCTCTTGTTGCAAGGCATTATTACTTCCAATTCCTGTCAGTAATTCACAAATAAGATCTACAGCAACGCATGTTAGTATTAGATGTGAATCCAATTCATCAACATCCTCTGAAAATAAAAATAAAAAAATAGAAATATTTTATAACATATAATTTTTATAACATGTTAATTTACCTTCGTAAGAACTTTTTACAATTTCCCACCAGTGACTAAATAATGCAGAATCATTAGTACTCTCCATTGAATCAACAGCTTCATAAGCAGAATCCACGCAAGAATATTCAGTTCTTTCAGTTATTAATTGTTGAAGTTCAGCTGCCAAACTTTTCTATTATAATTAATTCGTAAATTTAATTCAAACACAACTAAATACAAACTTAACTAAGTTTATGTAATGTTAAAATTTAAATTTAATTACTGATTTTATATCCTCGATGAATCTCCATGGAATATCAGCTAAAGGCATTAATGTAGGTAATGGAACATTTTCTTCCTCTTGTTCAATTTCAAAACCTGGAACAACCGTCTTTAAGGTATTAAAAACACCACTTACTGTTTTGACCAAAAACTTGTCAAATCGTGGTGCAACTACATCTGCCTTTTTATTAGCGTTACTACTTGGCCGTAAAAAATGTCGTAATTGCGGTGGACATTCATTAGCCAAGCGTGTAGTTAAAGTTTTCAAATAATTTTCTAATTCAAGACGACCACCTTCTGGTAATATCAAGTTTGTCATAATAGATGCTAATTCTGGGATCTGAAAATTGTACGTTACACAAAATGAGATAAAAATACTTCAATAAAAAGTACTTCAAAATAATTAATAAGTATGAAATGTTATATTCACCTCTTGTAGACTAGTATGTAACTGAGCAAAATCATGATATTGTCTTCTAACAGTAGCAGTTGTAGTTTCAAAGAGATCAACCCCACGTTGTTCTATATCATCAAATTGAATACAATAAAATAACTGCTGTGATCCATCAAGTGCTGTATGAAATTCTGTCCAAGGAATGGACAAATTTGTAAATTGACTACCATCATATATTACATAAGATTTTTCTTCCACATGTCTGAAGAATGTAATACAAATGTATACTTGATTTATTATTTAAAAAAAATACTAATACTTACAATGGTGTATTCACAGTTGATTTTTGTTGTAATACAGTTCTAAGTCTAGCAATTGTTGTAGCAAAATCTGTAGGTTCCTCGTACACAGGAGATATTTTATCCTCTTCCATTTCAGAATCTACCTCTATCATACTTTGACCCCATAGACCTCTATGTTCTGTACCTAAGTTATGTAAACGTAAAGTGGATCTCTTATCATTTATAGACGGTGAGGTATTTTCATGATCAATTAAAGCGTCGGTAGATGACTCAGATTTTGGTTTTGGTAATGGTCGTGGAATCACAGCTGCTGTTGCAGATGTTATACCATCTCCCAGAGCATTGGATATAGCTTTCTGAAATAGTTATCTTATTAATTCGTAATGATCAATGATAAATAAATATGGTATAATTGTGCACATACTTTGACTTGTGATATATTATCTTGCTGTTCACTTTGAGTTTTGGAAATGTCCTTTGGTATTGGTTGCAGTAAGTCAGATAAGTTTCGAAATAACCAATTTGGAGAACTTACTGTTTCAATGACTATTAATAATCTTTTTGCTAAGATAGATAACAACAATTTACATGATAATGAACTTGTTAACTCCCATTGTAAAAATTCTTGTGCTAAGATAGTAACCATTCGATGCAGCCTATGCTCTAAGGCTGGCATATTACGGGAACCGGAATGTAAATATTTAAATGCTTCCTCAATATTTGATGCAGTTCCTTTTTCTACTCGCCGTAATGCTCTATAACGCAATTCAATTAACTTTCCGGAGTAACTTACTCCATAAATATATATAAAACATATCATACCTGTGATACTCCTTTAAATGTAATAAGAACACATTAAACAGCTTATGAGTAAGCTTTATTTTGTCTATTAAACTGATTTTATGAAACAATTTGGTCAGTAACTTTTTCAGTAGCTCTTGTGCTTCATTAGGAAATGATGTATCATCACTGATAGATTTATACCAAACATTTATGCATTTTAAATTTATTTCCTTTACTAAATTATGTATTTCTATCGCTCTTTTTCTTTTTGCGGAAATATCTTTTCCACTAGCTGTGCTTTTCATTTTATGCTTTTGCTTCTCAGCAGATATTTGTGTCGAATTTGCGTCTTTATTTACTTCTACTGCATTCTCATATTTATTATTACAATCACTTTCATTTTCAGAATCATGTAATCTTAAATTGTTTAGTATTTTTTTATGTAACCAGTTATTAAGAAATTTTATATTAAGCGGCCTATTAGCTTTCAATGCAAGTTGAAATAAAAAACAACTGAGCCACACTGACAGTATTATAATAAATATAGCCCATGAAATAAAAACATACATCGGTAATGGTGTGAGACCAGCCCATTCTTGTATAATTAAAGATAACAATGCGCATAATATACTTAAAATTAATATCTGGTTCAACCAGCTCATTGGTATAACTTTCCCCATTGTAAACATAATATAAGAATATTATCTTTAATATTACATTTTGTGCCAATATAATATAAATCTGCAAAATAAATGTAATTTTATTTCTTTATAAGCTTACCATATTGTTCGATGCTGTTATGTTCTATATCAGAATAATATATTAAAATTTCAAGGTAATATATTCACAGATAATAATTTAAATTGATAATACAAAAAGGTTCATTTAACAACATATTTTTCCAGTGAAAGGAGCATTGTGTCATTTAAGATTGTGTCTCCAGAGAATCAAACACTATCATAATTTTACAACTGTTTTCAAAAACTACACTTATTTTCTATTAAAACCTTTAATTACTACAAAACTTACCTTATATTTCTAAAATATTCCTATTCCATATATTGACATATTGATGTTTTATACTGTAACCTCAGCATTTTTGATTCTCGTTCGAATTGAATCATAAAACTCCTCAACGAACGTGAGTCTCATATATAGATATATAGATAATCACAGATTACTAACTTAACCCCTTTGTACTTAAATGCACCTGAATTTCCATAAACATTTTATTTTCTTGTGTGGCGATACGATAAGACATAGATCACATCTCAAAAATAATGGCGTTCTTCTTTGTCATCGCTTGATTTACCCTCGTTTTCATAGAATATATGGGACAGTAACAATCATTGTAAATGTTTCATATATATGTATATATACAAACAGTACTTTATGTTACAAATTATTTTGTTAAATTACATTTAAATATTTTTTTTAAATGATAAAACACACTTCTAGTACTGTATCTCAAATTTAAGGTTATGAATGTAATTATTTTACACTTTTTGTGCATATGTGCCGTTGTGACACATACGTACATACATATGTTTGTGAAAACGTAGAATATAATCGAAAATAATTGTATAAATACGGGTTGAGTATATTGTTTATTATAAAATTTAGAAAAGCATTTGAATATCTGAACTACTTAACCAGTATAGTACAGTACTTATAATATAAGTAACTTTACCCAATACGGATTTGATTTGAAGATTATAATTACAAAAAATTCAATATGTTTTATGTTTGTATACACATGTAAAATACTTTAAAAAAATGTATGAAAATACAATGAGTTCGTATTATCCTTTTACAAGTGAAAGAATTGACTATGATTCGAGTTTTTACACTGCCATTCAATTTAGAATTGAAAAAATTGAAACAATTACGGAGAACGAACTAAAATTTTATTCTACTACCTGTGTACGTAATATTTACCTAGAAGATCGAGATAAGTTCACTGCGATGATCGAGAAACTGATATGAATTTTCTATCCATTTGGGACGAACGCAATTTATCTACAAGTCAAACAATTAAACTGTAATCGTCATATCTATATTACCACGTATCTAAATAAAACAATACACCAACTTATCGAACAAATCTTATTTATCATGTTTGATAACAAATTTTCTTTCAAGTAGAAAAGTTAATGATACCGTACCATATTTTCAAACAATGAATTAACTGTTCGTCTATCTTATTACAAATATAATAGACCGAGTAATTGTATCGTGCGATCAGTTTTCAGTGTTCATTCAAAACAGGTCATAAGATACGGCGAATAATTAAGTAGTAAAGAACAGCAAAGCTAGCTATCCGTTTTTTCTAGCATTAGCATTCTCAGCACGTGTCAGTCTCGTGAAGAGGGACGAAGTATAATAATGCCGGTCCTAAACTCGGTGTACCTCCACCCCATGCAGGTGCACGTACGCATGCATACACGTCCCAAAGAGTGCGGGCTCTAATTTTAGTTGGCGAAGCGTCGGAATAAGCGTAAGTCACCCGGGGGCCTTGTATGGCTAGGAGACGATCCCGGGGACCCCCGGTATGCACTCCCCAACAGCCGCGTACCGACAACTCTATTTTTGTTATTTCTTTATTTGTAGCACAGTTTTATCGCTCGTCTTGGGTTACGGGTTTTCCTTCGAAGGGAAATCTAATAACGGACCATGTTCAAACTCGAAAGATGGTCAGAGGTATCGGGCATCGTGTACGAAACAAACTAGTCTCTCCCTCGTTGGATTGAGATATAGTTATTGCTGCTAGAAATAATTACTTTCACACCGAAAACGCGAAGTATAACAATATTTAGATGTTAATTTAACGAATTAAGTAAGTGGATGGAGGGAATAAATGAAACGTTTCGTTGTGCAATGATATTCAATTCCACGAATAGCGAATAAATCGGCACGGAGAAGCG